GAGTCCTTTTTCCAGCAATTGGTTTATTTATTTTTTTGCATGACTCAACTAATGAAACTAAACTGTTAAGTTTTATACGAAGACAAAAATAAACCAAACAGAAACAACTCCCCTTCCCACTACACAATTTCAGGTTTGCCTCTTGAGTTACAGCCTGCCCCAGGCCTAGGGACTACAAGCAAAGAGAAGAGAACGGTGAAATCCTGCTGCCATGGGAGCCAAGGCAGCCCAGCCACCTGGAAAAACGCAGAACTAGTTTCAAAGGAGGGAGACTGACCTCTACGGCATTTAGTCACATGACTATGTCATGGATTCTGAAGGCACTCCCAAAGAGTCTCAAGAAGGTTTTCAGCCAGAGGAGAATGAAAAGGAGAGTAGTTACCTTAGAGAGGTATGATCATGGATTATTTATTTAACTTCCACAAAAATTCTAGCCTTGACTGTCTTTTTCTTCCTTTGATCTCTCACAAGCTGGAAGACTTCTTCAACTGCTCGGGACTCTTGGCTCCCCACTGGCCTGCCAGAAAGAAGCCAGTACCCCTGCCACCTCCGTGTGCAGACGCCCCGCCTGCCTCCAGCGGGGCAGTGGGGGGAGATGGAGTTCAGAGCTGTTCCACTGAGGGACACCCCAACAGTAGCATCTCCACGTCTTTTCTCTGTTTGGGGTTCATTTTCTCCAGAAGAGTATGCATCAATCTTCTAGAGGGAAGGGGAGACGGTGGGCACGACCCCGGGGCCAGCATTCCCGGAAGCCAAGTCAAGATGCCTCACTTCTCCACTTGCAGCCTTTGCTCTCAGCCCCATTCTCAGCGGACCACCCTCCACTGGGCCAGAGAGCTCCCGCAGGAAAGCCCTCTCGGTTCAGCCTCTCGGGGAAGAGATTCTAGTTTTTTGTTTTTTTTTTTTTAATAGGCTTCCCGCCCAGCGCAGAGCCCAGTGCGAGGCTTGAACTCACAAGCCTGAGATGATGACCTGAGGTAAGAGTTGGACACTTAACTGACTGAGCTCCCCAGGTGGCCCGAAGGACGGGGAGGTCTGGGGTGACCTCCTGACTGTGCAGGGTTGGGGAGAGGACCTGGGCGTCCCACGCTTCTTTCCATCACTCCTCCTGGGTGTCTGCCTTCGGAGACAGCTCCAATTCCTCAGCCTTTCCAGGGCTCCATGGCAAGAACCGGCTGTTTTCTGGAGTTCTCCAACCCTGAAGGCATTTAGCCTTCTTCAGCTTTCATTCGTCAGTTGAGTTCACCATTACTCCACTTTTCAACTTGCAAAATGTTACCATTGTGTTCCCTCTGCCTCCTCTTTAAACTAATAATAAATTCATGAATTTCTAAGAGTCCTTTTACCGATATTTTATTAGGGCTTCAGAAGAATGCAAAGATAAACATGTAGTTTCAATTCACTGTGCTTGAGAGCAATATGGTTTCTTAGAATAAATTTATCTGGACCTACTGTATCCCAAGGAAACACGGTTAAGCAAGCCTTTTCCGTGGACATGACAAGTCTCCAGTGTCCTTTCTACTTGCTCTCTGCAGAGCCATGATGGCTGGCTGGCCGCCACGCTCCACGTTCTGCTGCCCCCAGCTCTTGGCACATGACCCACGTCCTCCATCCTCTCAGTGCCGCCCACACCGCCACCTGCTCCCAGGCACAGGTGCTATGCTCCTCCAAAGCACCCCCCTCTGTGCTCTCGATCCTAGCACCCGCCCCCCCGGCCCCTTCCCTGGGCTTTCATTTCAGCTCCTTCCCCTCTTTGTTTTCTTCTCCCTTCAGTCTCTCAATCTCCAAGGCTTCTTCCATCATTTATTTTTTTTTAAACTTTCTTCATGTTTATTTTTGAGAGAGAGGGACAGAGCATGAGTGGGGGAGGAGCATAGAGAGAGGGAGGCACAGAATCCTAAGCAGGCTCCAGGCTCCGAGCTGTCAATGCAGAGCCCGATGCTGGACTTGAACCCATGAACTGCAAGATCATGACCCAAGCCCAAGTCGGACACCGAACTGGCTGAGCTACTCAGGCACCCCACTTCTTCCCTCATTTAAAAAAAATGTAAAAATATTTGTAAAGAAACTATAATTGCCTTCCGCTGGCGACAACATTAGTGGAATAGTTACTCCAAAGAAGCCTCCTGTACAAAACAAGCAGTTCTTGGCTAAAATAACACTTTTTAGTGCATTGATGGGCCTCCTGAAAGTAAAGGAAATCTCTAAGGACCCTTGCACCATAACCAAAAAGCACAACCACAGGCGAACAAACTGTGGCTTGAAAACAGGATAAAACACTGAGCAGTAAGCAAACTCTAAGGGTAGGGTGACCTTGACGGTGACCACTGGTACAAGGCCGTGCCACCGGGCTGCCACTGGGAAGCCGAGCCTGAGATGTCGTATTAGGCCAAGAACCTCTGAAGGAGGCTAAACGGCGTCAGGTGATGCAGCCCTAGATCCCTCCAGCAACAGATGCGAATCCCTCCCTGATACGGGGCCTCAGGATTAAGATCAAAGGAGCAAAAGCTCACAACCAACATCATCAAACACATAAAGAAATCAAGTGCAGAAACAAACTATACATTCATACCCCTAAGGTCTAAAATTACTGGGTTTAGGAGACACAAGATGTACAATAAGAATCACAAGTAAAGGAGGTAATGGAGGTAACAGAAGGCGACACCAGGAACTACAGGCTACTAGGACAGAGGAGCAGTACTTACACAGAAGGCAAAGGGGAAAGAAACAGAAACAATTTTGTAGCGCTCCCTGGTTGCCCCTAGGGCTAGCTTTGTCCCCTCTGACCATTCTCAAAGGTAGGGAATAGCGCCAAGAGTTATAGTTACAAAATGATACAAATTCCCTGGAGCAAACAATCTACTACCACATCTGTCATAGCGTGTGGGGAAATGTTCAGGCAGGACGTCCTCACAAACTTCTGTCACAAACCGGGAGCTTAATCACACGCACATTTCCCTCGCAGAGAAGGCCTCACTGACTGTGCCAGCGACATCCAGCTCATCACAGCAGTATTACAATGAATCGGAACAAAAATCCTGTATGGTGTGGTAACCCAACAATCCCAAAATCCCACAGCTGACTGTGCTCAATCATTTCTAGATGGTCCACGACTTCTGTCAACTCAGCCTTCAAACACAACCAGTACAGATGTATATTATCTACCCCTGCAGTCTTCCACGCACCTCATTCAGATACGCACACTGGCGCTGATAAATTGATGTTTTTAGGTACTGCATAATGATGGGTTTGTTGTGTTGTTTTTTTTTTTTTTACCATTTCACAGTATCTATGCAGTAATTTTTATTTTATCACTTCTATAAATTGTAAAAAGGCACTGACACAAAATGTAAAAAGGACTTAGACCACTGATAATTAGAAATCTCAAGGGGCATCCGGGTGGATCAGTTGGCTAAGCATCCAACTTTGGCTCAGGTCATGATCTTGTGGTTTATGAGTTCGAGCCCCCACGTTGCGCTCTGTGCTGACTGCTCAGAGCCTGAAAACTGCTTTGGATTCTGTGTCTCCCTCTCTCTCTCTGCCCCTCTCCTGCTTCTCACTCTCTCTCTCTCAAAAATAAATAAACATAAAAAAATTTTTTTAGGGGCACCTGGGTGGCTCAACCGGGTAAGCATCCGACTTCAGCTCAGGTCATGAATTCGTGGTTCATGAGTTCGAGCCCTGTGTCAGGCTCTGTACCAACAGCTTGGAGCCTGGAGCCTATTACGGATTCTGTGTCTCTCTCTGCCCCTCCCCCACTCGTACTCTTTCTCTCACTCAAAAATAAATAAAACATTAAAAAATTGTTTTTCATTTTTTAAGTAGAGTACAATATATGCATAATTGTTTTGACATAAAGCAAAACAGTGTTGGGTTTGCAGGTTCTTGGTTGGCTTAGCTCTCGGGCCCCACGGGGCAAACACGCTCTCCATTCTTGCTGCTTGACCTCTGCTGGGAAGGTTTGCTACGACTAGGGCTGTTCAGACACTTTGGGTACCACAAAGACAAAGCCTAGCAATAACAAAATTAACACATGCCAGACAGAATTCTGATTAAAAGCGCTGTTTAAACATCAATATATGTTTACCAAATACAAGTTATCACAGCAGTATTGAATGTGTAGTATCTCTTAACATTCAGAATCAACATATAAAGCTCTAGTTAGGAGAGGCCTGGGTGGCTCAGTCAGTTGAGTGTTCAACTCTTGATTTTGGCTCAGGTCATGATTTCATAGTTCATGAGTTTGAGCCCCCCATCAAGCTCAATCAGGAGCAACGCTGCCTTTGCCCTCGGAGAGAAGTCGCGTGAAGGGTAGATGCAAAATACTATACTCCCCGTATTTCACGTAATAATCCCTTTCTGCCCTTCTACTTTCCAGGCTGTAAATTTTCATGCTAAGACATGAAACACCATCTTGAAAACTACAGACCCTCCTAACTACTGGCAAAAAAAAAAAAAAACCCAAGAACAACAACAAAACCCCAGCAACATCGGGAGAAAATGGTAACCTTTCCCTGTGTCTTTGGAAGAACATCCCACATTTCAGCACCGTAAACCTGCCCTTAAATGTTATTTCTGATCAAGGAGTCCCAAAGCCCCAGAGACTGCTGTGTCCTAAGAAAGCAGTCCTTGGTAGGTATAAAAGCTGTACTTCTGACGGGCTCTCTCCCTTAATAATGTATTCCCCAAGGAATGATACTTAAGCTGACATCCCTGTTTTCTGAAAGGTATGTCGTGGTTTTTAATTTTATTTTCCATATGTGTGAAAGTCAAAATAAATAAAAGCTTCAATCTGACCGGCTTCCTTATTTCAAAAGACAAAAAATAAAAAGAACTTTGAGAATCTTGGCTCATTTAAATATAAGATAAAAAAAAAAAGTGACACTGCCAGGTCATTTAAAAAAGAGAAGAGAAGAAAAATAGAACTTTCAAAATTATGCGTTGATTCCTCAGTACTTTACAAGCGCTCTCCCTACAACGTCTTCAGAGGCAATACTTACTGTAACTGCCAGGAGCCTTTTCTTCGTAAGTGAAATGAAGCTGCAATTCCTCCTCTGACATCTCACAGATGAACACTTTCAGCAAACAGCAAATAATAAACAAGGCATTGTGTGTCTGCCAAATGAAGATGTGGCTGGAAAGGAAAGACCGAAACCACACGTGAATCAGTATTTAGTCAGGAGCACGAGCACTGCTATCTAGGTCATGATTTCTCAGTCATCTTGCCCATTCCGTTTGTCATAGAAAAGACAATGTCCCTATCTTTTCATGGCTAGTGATACATTACTCTATTCCAATCTACTTCATGTCTCATTCTGTGTATTTTACTTAGTGAGTCAACCTAACAAAAAGATTTTCCTTCGGCATGACTGGTCTTTGTTCTTGACTTCATACTCGTCCCACACAGGGGCGGTTCAAAGAAAAGCGAAAAAAATTTCTTTCAAATATAGTAATATGAAGAGACTATATGCAAATACACAACCAAAATTTTAAATGGGGCACTGCCAGCAGCCCAGTACAATACCTGCTATTTGTATTAGTCACCGTCTACGGCCGCACCACCCTGAAGGTGCCTGATCTCATCTGATCTCGGAAGCTAACCAGGGTTGGGTCTGGTTAGTACTTGGATGAGAGACTATTTGTATTAGTAACCATGAGCTCAACAAGAAAAATTTAAATTAGATTCAACATAATTTGTTTGGAAGCAAAACTGGTTTCAAGAAATGCCTGAGGGTATAAAAGATTAACCTTCCAAATCATCAAGTATAAAATTTTAATATCTATACTGGAATTAAAATAAAAATAAAAGTATAATATCTAATCTGAACTTTCTTTCATCTACTAGGAAAGGAAGAAGGGAAACAGATGTGGAATGAAATAATACTCAAACTTAGTCATCATTTAAACTAGATATAAACATCAGTAATAATGAGAGTGGGGAAACTACCTTTTTAAATAATAACTACATCACTATTAACCTTCATGGGGTGCCTGGGTGGCTCAGTCAGTTAAGCATCCGACTTTGGCTCAGGTCATGACCTCACAGTTTGTGGGTTCAAGCCCCGCCATCAGGTTCTATGCTGACACCTCAGAGCCTGGAGCCTGTTTCAGATTCTGTGTCTCCCTCTCTCTCTCTGACCCTCCCCTGCTCATGCTGTCTCTCTCTCTCTCTCTCTCTCTCTCTTTCAGAAATAAATAAAAAAACATTAAAAAAAAAAACAACACCTTCTTAAGGGATATATTTCTGAAGATTGTCTGAAATGCTGAAATCAGACTCCAGAATTCATAATCTCACCACAATGACTTGGACAGTAAATTATAACCTGTCTTTTACTTTGTAACAATGAGAATTCCATTATAGCTTTCAAAAGACCATAGTCTATTTCCACCAAAAAATAAAAAATACTCATACTGCTAAATATAAAGAGAACATGATTTAATCAGTCTGCTTACTTCTGACATTCTGCCGAAAGTTTTAGTTCTTTGGTTCTAGAAAGGAAGACCTTAATTAGCGCACCAAGGTTTCCTGTTCGAGGATTGTTTACAACTGCAAGAGAAGATAAGGTTTTAAAAAGTTAAAATTAAAAACAAATCAAAGTCAACATATTAAAACACTTATAAAACTAAGTGTCGAGCTGAAATTGCTCACAAATCTCACAACCAATTTCACATCTAATTAGGGATATAAACAATGAGAGAAACTGCTGGTCTTAATTTTGAACAAAAAATGATTTGCAAGGGGCGCCTGGGTGGCTCAGTCGGTTAAGCGTCTGACTTGGGCTCAGGTCATGAACTCTCAGTTGGTGAGTTCGAGCTCCACATCAGGCTCTCTGCTGTCAGCACAGAGCCTGCTTTGGATCCTCTGTCCCTCCCCAATCTCCCCAGCGTGCCTGCGTGCACGCTCGCTCTCTCTTCTCTTTCAAACACATAAAAAACATTTTAGAAAATTTTTTTAAATGATTTGCAAACTGAAAATGATGGAAATAACAGGACAAAGTAGTCAATTCATATCAGAATTCAAAACTGTAAAGAAAATAGAGAATAGTTGATATGTACTCAATTTACACACACATATATTTTTCTTTAGGAAACCAAATGTTAAAGGAAACTCAAAAATGATTCCCAGCATACAGACTACAATAAATTGTAAAAGCAAAACTCTATTCAGATAATCATAAATCATTCTATGAAAACTATACACACACAAAGCAATATGACCAGGGGAAAGCTATTTTGATCAGACAAAACTTTAAAGAATTTGTTCAAAAAGTTTTTTAAGTTTAAAGGCAGGCATTTCAACAAATCTAGCCCAAAGAATTGAGCAGATACTGTAATAAGAATCAGATGATCTGGCTTCTAGATCCAAGTCTATAATTAACAGAATATTAAGCCTCAAATTACTTTTCTTCTCCAACCTCAGTTTTCTCATCAAACAACAGGTAACATATATTGACCAATATACAGTAAGTGCTCCACACACATGATGTCACTGAATCCTCAAAACCAACTCTGGGATAAGCACTTATATCATCTCCATTTCACATATCATCTACTGGTTACAATCCTTGGCTCTAAAATGCTGTGCTATACCAACCCCTATAATCAAGGAATTACACTTAATGAAAATATAAAGTTCTATCAGGCTGCACAGTAAGACACACATGATGGTTAATTTTGTGTGTCAACTTGACTGGGCCACAGGATGCCCAGATATCCGGTTAAATTTATTTCTGGGTGTATCTGTGAGGATGTTTCTGCATTTTAATTTTGAACCAAGTACAGCAGACTCGCCTCTCTAAAGTGGCCATGCATCATCCAACACGTTAAGGGCCTGAACAGAACAGATGTTGGAGGAAGGTTCAATCTTCTCTCTGGCCGACTATTGGGCTAAAATGTTAGGCTTCTGCCCTTGGAATTTATACCATTAGTGTTACTGGGTCCCTGGATAACTAACCTTAATACAGCACAGAAGCACAGAAGTTAAGAACCCATCAGAGCTAAAGAGTAAGTCGGAGAAAGACAACTAGCATCTGATTTCACATATCCTATATCGAATTTAAGAAACAAATGAGCAAAGGGGGGAAAAAGAGCAAGAGAGGCAAACCAAGAAACCAGCTCTGAACTACAGAGAACAAACTGATGATTAGGAGGCGGGTAGGCAGATGAAGGGGATGGGGAAATAAGTGACGGGGATTAAGGAGGGCACTTGTGATATGCACCCGGTGTTGTATGGAAGTGTTGAATTACTGTATTGTACACCTGAAATATACTACACTGTACGTTAACTGGAATTTAAATTAAAACTTAAAAAAAAAACTCATCAGAAGGAAGAGACCATTTAGTCAAAACCTTTGATTTTACTGATAAAGAAAAAGAGATCCAGAAAGGTTAAGTGCTGGGCCCAAAGTCAACAATGTTAGTGACAAATGTTCAGTCTTTTTTGCTTTAGGAATGGTGTTCAAACCAAACTCTGGAGATTCCAGAGTTCTGAATACTTGTTTCTCTTTTGAAATACATTTTTAATTATTTTGAAAAACGGAAATGCAAATACTCAAACACACTGGCCTATGCTGCCTGAAAAATTCACTAACAAAATTTTTTTTAATGTTTATTTTATTTTTTTAGAGAAAAAAACACAGAGCACGAGGACGGGAGGGGCAAAAGGGAGAGAGACACAGAATCCAAAGAAGGCTCCAGACTCTGAGTTGTCAGTGTAGAGCGTGATGCAGGACTTGAACCCACGAACTGCGAGATCATGACCTGAGCTGAAATCAGTGCTTAACTGACTGAGCCACCCAGGCGCCCCACGTCTTCCCTCATTTAAAAAAAATGTAAAGATATTTGTAAAGAAACAGGCTTAGTGAGGTTTAGTAACCTATCCAGTGATCACACACCTAACATGAAGCAAGTAGGCGATGTTTGGCAAAGCTGGACACCAAAACCTGGGTTTGGGTTTTTTTTTTTTAATGTTTATTTATTTTGAAAGAGAGAGAGACAGAGCATGAACAGGGGAGGGGCAGAGAGAGAGGGAGACACAGAATCCGAAGCAGGCTCCAAGCTCTGAGCTGTCAGCACAGAGCCCAACGTGGAACTTGAACCCATGAACCGCGAGACCACAACCTGAGACGAAGTCAGTGCTTAACTGAGCCAGGCAGGCAGCCCAGAAAATTTCATTTTTATGCAGACCTGAGATTTATGCTTTTGCGGCCATCTCAATGCATATTTGAACTGCTTGAAAATGTGTCGAAGATTCGAAAGGATGAAGTTCTCCAGAATTGTTAAAGATCCAGGTATGCACATATAGACTTTAAAAAATTACATATGGGAATAAGTACACCATGACAGCATCCCTGCTTCAGGCTCAACAACTGTCAAGTTAACTCAGGCCAACCTGCTGGGTAGGTGTTCTGGTCACTGCTTGAATCAAGGCAAGTCACCAAGGCAAGGTAACCTCACTGTGATAAAACGTTGTAGTACCTTGCTATTCCAAGCGTGGTTCATGGACCAGTGGCAACAGCATTACCTGGGAGCCTGCTGCACGTACAGAATCCCAGGTCCCCACCCTGCACCTGCTGACATTAACAGTGTTTCTCAAGGTTTAATGTGCTTTTAAATCAGAAGGCAGTCCTATTAAAGTTCAAATTCTGATCTTACAAGTGTCAAGTGTGACCTGAGATTCTGCAACAGTCTCTCCCAGGTGGTGCTCCCTGCTGTGGACAGAGAACCCCACTGTGAATAGCAAGGTGCGACATGTGCAGTAAGTTAGGGCAGGTTTTGTCCAGCTTTTATAATCAAGAATCAGTATATAACGTGATATTAAAATCTTGTCAGTTTCACTTTGAATTAAAAATTTCCTGTTTCTCTTTCACGCTTTGGGATTTAATGAAAGAACATCCTGAGATTACAGGATACAATGTGTTAAAAAAAAAAAAAGTTAATGTTTGCAAGTACATCTCTGTGTGAATTAATACTACCGAGCTATTGTAAACCAAAACAAAGTACTGAAACAGGGGCTGCTTGGGTGGTTCAATTGGTTAACTGTCTGACTCTGGCTCAGGTCATGATCTCACAGTTCATGGGTTCAAGCCCCACATCGGGCTCTCTGCTGACAGCTCAGGGCCCAGAGCCTGTTTCGGATTTTGCGTCTCCCTCTCTCTCTGCTCCTCCCCGGCTCATGCTCTGTCTCTCTTTCTCTCTCTCTCTCTCTCAAAAATAAATAAATCCTAAAAAAAATCAAAATAAAAAAAAACATTAAAAAACTTTTAATTAAAAAAATACTGAAACAAAGAGCTGAGGATGATATGACCCCCCATCAGATGAGCTCGAGCCCCACTTCACACTGACAGTGCAGAGCTTGCATGGGATTCTCTCTCCCATTCTCTCTGCCCCTCACTCACTTGCACTCTCTCTCTCAAAAATAAATTGATTAAATAAAGGAAATTATATTAAAAAAGAGAAATTGTATTAAAATTATATTAATACTAATAATAAAATTGTATTAAAAAAAAGAAAGAGAAAGCAAAAACAGTCCAAGCTGAATGTTAACAGGTAATCCTAAGTTGAGGGAGAAGAAACTCAATCACAAGTAAAATCTAAGCCATAACTAAAGAAAACTTCGGAAGTAAAAAGACTTTAATAAGCTAATAAAAAAAAAAAACCCTCATCAAATTACAGGCAAAAGCATAAAGAAAAAAGAATAATGAGAAACACTTATTCATAATGGTTAATGGAAAAAGTCTAATAAACAAAGAAATTTAAAAAAATTAGGATCTTTAGACGTCCTCTCCGGTAACCACTTTCTCACACCATATACAAAAATAAATTCGAAATGGATTAAAGACCTACATGTAAGACCTGAAACCATAAAACTCTTTAAAAAATACACAGGCAGTAAATTTGGAATTCAGTCTTAGCAATATTTTTTTGGATCTGTCTCCTCATGCAAGGGCAACGAGAGCAAAATAAACAAGTGGGACTACATCAAACTAAAAAGCTTCTGCATAGCAAAGGAAACCATGAGCAAAAAGACAACCTAATGAAGGGAGAAGAGATCTGCAAATGACATATTCGATAAGTTAATATTCAAGGGTGTCTGGATGGCTCAGCTGGTGCACCATGTGACTCTTGACCTCAAGGTTTTAAGTCCAAGCCCCAGGTTGGCCGTAGACATTACTTAAAAATAAAATCTTTTTTTAAAAAAAGTTAATATTCCAAATATACAAAGAATTTATACAACTCAACACCAAAAACACCCACATCTGATTAAAAATAGGGTGAGGGGGGCACCTGGGTGGCTCTGTCGGTTAAGCGTACGACTTCGGCTCTGGTCATGATCTCACAGCTAGTGAGTTTGAGCCCTGCATCAGGCTCTGTGCTGACAGCTGAGAGCCTGAAGCCTACTTTCAGATTTTGTGTCTCCCTCTCTCTCTCTGCTCCTCCTCTACTCACAAACTCTCTCTCTCTCTCAAAAATAAATAAATGTTAAAAAAAAAAATGTAAAGAAAAATAGACTGAGGACTTGAATAGACACTTTTCCAAAGAAGACATCCAAAGATGGCCAACAGACACATGAAAGAATGTTCAGTATCACTCATCATCAGGGAAATGCCAAACCACAATTAGGTATCACCTCACACCTTTCAGAAAGGCTAAGATCAAAGACAAGAAATAACAAGCGTGGGTGAAGATGTGGAGAAACACAAACCCTCTTGCACTGCTGGTGGAAATGCAAATTGGTGCAGGCACCACTGAAAACAGTATGGAGGTTCCTCAAAAGATAAAAAATAGAACTACTATATGACCCAACAATTCTACTTCTAGCTTTTATCTAAAGAAAATGAAAACACTAACTTCAAAATATATACATACCCCCAGGTTCACTGCAGTAACATCTACAACAGCCAAGACATGGAAACAACCCAAGCGTCCATCGACAGTTGAATGGATAAAGACGACGTGATGTGTACACATAAGGGACTATTACTCCACCATAAATAAGAATAAAATCTTCCCATTTGTGACAACATGGATAGGCCCAGAGGTACACTGTTAAGTGAACAGTCTGAGAAATACCAATACTGTATGATTTCACTTCTATGTGGAATCAAAAAAAAGAAAAAAAATCAAACAAAACAGACTCATAGAGAACAAAGCAGCAGCTGACAGGTGGGGCAGGGTGCGGTATGGGTGAAATAGGTAAAGGGGATTAAGAGGAACAAACTTCCAATTATAAAATAAGTAAGTCACAGAGATGGTAAAGTACAGCATAAGAAATATGGTCAGTAATACTATAATAACTGTGGATGATGACAGATGGTAACTAGACTTATTTGGGTAAGCATTCTGTAACGTGTATAAATGTCAAATCAAGATCAAATCACTATGTTATACACCTGAAGCTAATGTAACACTGTATGTCAACTATTCCTCAATTAAAATACAAAACAAAACAAGCTGAAAGAGTCTGTGGTACTGCAAGTAAGCCAAGCATGTGTCTTACTGCCTTTGACCAAATGTGACCGTCTAGTGGCTTTGACGAGCACCATGAACAGAATAAATATTACTACATATTATCAAGAACACATCACTTCATTAATTCAAATCATATTACACTACCAAAATTTATAACAGAAATTTTGAAATAAATGCCATACACATTCATTTTGCCCCTTACCTAAAGACCTGCAGACTGAAACAGTGGCTTCCTCCAAGAGCTTCAGCTCGGTGCTGGAGAGATAGAAGAAAAGGTCATTAATAACTACAACACTAAATATGTACACACTAACCAGTTAAAGGAATAAATAAAATAAAGAAGAGAAAAACAATTTAGAAGGAAAATATGGTATACAGTGGTAAACAATGAAACCACAAATAGGGTTCATGGGTGGCTCAGTCAGTTAGGGTCTGACTTTAATTCAGGTCATCAACTCACTTTGTGGGTTCAAGCCCCACATTGGACTCTGTGCTGACAGAGCCCAGAGCCTGCTTCGGATTCTGTATCTCCCTCTCTCTGCCCCTCTCCCACTTGCACTCTGTCTCTCAAAATAAATAAAAACATTTAAAAGAAAAAAAAACAATAAAAAGACAAAATGAAGCTTCTGCTTTCAACCTAATTAGAAAATGTACTCTAATTCTCAATATGAGATTCCTAAAAGAGAAGCACTTGAGAAGCCCCGTCTTTCAGAAGGGATGGGGTGGACAGACTTAGAAAAATGCAAGAAATAGGGGCACATGTACCCCAATGTTCACTGCAGCACTCTCAACAATAGCCAAAACATGGAAAGAGCCTAAGTGTCCATCAACTGACGAATGGATTAAGATGATGTGGTTTATCTATACAATGGAATACTACATGGCAATGAGAAAGAATGAATTCTGGCCATTTTTAGCAACACAGATGGGACCAGAGGGTGTTATGCTAAGCGAAATAAGTTAGGCAGAGAAGGACAGATACCATATGTTTGCACGTATAGGAGAAACTTAACAGAGGACCGTGGGGGAGAAGAAGGGGAAAAATAGTGGGGAAGAGGGAAGGAGGCAAACCATGAGAGACTCTCGAATGCTGAGAACAAACCGAGGGCTGATGGGGGTGAGAGGTAGGGGAAGGGGGGTGATGGGCGTGGAGGAAGGCATTTGCGGGCATGAGCACTGGATGTTATATGGAAACCAAACTTGACAACAAACTCTCTAAAAAAAAAAAAAAAAAAAAAATGCAAAAAAGTCACTTCAAAGTACCAAGCACAAAGTAGGGCCCCCACCTGCCCAGTTCTAGTGACAGTACCAATGACGGGGTTAGAGTTATCTGGAAAAATGCCACTGTTTTTAGGAGAAATATGAAGTCTCATCATACCTGCAATACCTTCAAATAGACCAACAACAAATAAAGGAAGAAACAAGGCAAGAAAAGCACGAGAACACATACATCAGCTTCAATAATTTATAAACAAAGAAAAACAGAAACAGACACAGAGACAAAGACAGATACGAGCAAGGCACAGACAGAAACAGCCATAAAACTCAGAAAAAAACACAAGGGAAAGCTTTGTGATGCTGGATTAGGCAATGGTTTCTTGGATATGACATCGAAAACAAAGACATTAAAAGAAAAAATATGTAAGTTTGACTTTATCAAAATTAAAAGCTTTTGGGTGTCAAAGGATACTATCTCAGGGTGAAAAGTCAACCCAACAGAATGGAAGAAAATATTTGCAAATCATCTATCTGATAAGAGACTGATATCCGGAATATACCAAAAAAAAAAAAAAAAAAAAAGCAAAAAACAAAAAACCTCTGACTCAACAAAAAACAAACTCAATTTAAAAATGGGCAAAGCGTTTAACGAGACATTTCTCCAAAGAAGACATACAAAAGGCAATAGGTATATAAAAAGATGTGCAACAACACAATTCATCAGGAAAATGCAAATCAAAACAATGAGATACTACTTTCACACCTAGTAAAATGACTATTAAAAAAAAAGGAGAGAAAGAGAAGGTAAGTGTTGGTGGGGATATAGAGAAATGGGGACCTTTGTGCACTGATGGTGAGCACGTAAAATGGTGCAGGTGCTGTGAAAAAGCGTATGGCAATTCAACAAAAAATTAAATATGAAATTACTATGTGATCCAGCGATTCCATTTTTGGGTATACAAATACCCAAAAAGGATTAAAAGCGGGGACTCTCCCTGATATCTGTACACCACGTTCACCGTCACTCATAACAGCCTTAAAAGTAGAAGCAATCAAAGTGTCCATCAATGGATGAATCAGGGTACAAAATGTGGTACATTCATACAGCGTAGTATCATTCAGCCTTAAAAAGGAAAGAAAGTCTAACACGTGCTACAACACAGATGAACCTTGAAGACATTATGCTAAGGGAAACAAGCCAGCTGCAAAGAGAGAAATACTGTATGATTCCACTTATAGAAGGCTCTTGGAGTAGTCAGATTCATAGAGACAGAAAGTAGAATGCTGGTTACCAATGGTAGAGTGGGAGGTGGTGGGGGGATGGGGAGTTATTGCTTAATGAGTAGTTTCAGTTTGGGAAGATGAGAAGGTTCTGAAGATGGATGGTGAGTCACAACAATGCGAATGAATGTATTTAATGCCATAGAAGTATACACTTAAAAATGGTTAAGATGATCAATTTTATGTTGTATTTTTGCCGCAATAAAAAAAAAGTACATTTCAATTCCAACTCCAGCTCAACTAGTCACCAGCTATGTGATTTTGGGCTAATTTCTTAACCATTTATGTCTCAGTTTTCTCCTATATAAAACAGAGATGATAAATAACAGTACCTGTTCCGGAAGACACTGTTATCATTAAATTACATAATATGTGCAAAGTGCTCGGAACAGTGTCCAGCACAGGATAAAACCTCAATAAATAATAGCTATTACTGACTCCAAAATGTAGTGGGTCTCCTCCCCGCCAACAGTTAATTAAAGTAATGTTTTACGTTAAGCACTTTCAAATTTATTACTACATTTAAATCCCATGACAACATCTTTTTTTTAATATTTATTTTGAGAGAATGAGAGCGAATGAGTGGGGAAGGGGTGGAAAGAGAGACAGAGAGAAAGAATCCCAAGCAGGCTCCATGCTGTTAGCACAGAGCCCAATTTGGGGCTCAATCTCAGGAACTGTGAGACCATGACCTGAGCTGAAATCCAGAGTCGGCCGCTTAACCGACTGGACCACCCAGGCGCCCCATGACAACCTTTTCTAATATGCGGGAGTTATAAACCCTCTTTTTATGTACACATAGGTACATATGAAATGTATTATTAAAACTGATTTCATCTGCTTCACTCTTCTAATGTGGCTGTTGGAAGGCTTTCAATGACATGTGTCTCACCTTGTATTTGCATGAGACTTGCTCCAGAACTTGTCCTCTGACAACAGAAGGCAGCATCGTGTTGCAGTATCACACACACACACACACACACACACACACACACACAGCTAAACCCACTCATTACTTCAGTGAACATGCCACATCTCACATTATACTCAACTTCAAAAAGATAAGACTTTTTTCAAAGTTAAATCTTTAAGTTTCTCCTAAGATCAAAGGGGTTTTTTGGCCAAAATAACCTAGAAATGATGCTGTAATAAAGCATTTGTGGGTCTCTGGTCTTTATCGCTGTATTTTTATTTTATTTACAAAAATTCTTTTCGTGTCTGCCCACGTCACAGTGTCGGTCAGCCTGCTCTCCCATCCCTTCCGTCTGTCTTCCCCTGACCCCTGAGGGCTAGGAGGTCCAGACAGCCTTGTTCAGCACGACCCCACTCCCCGGCCACTGCCGACTCAATCAGGGACAGACATACCAGTCTTGGGGAACTGGGAACTGAGATGGAAGGAAAGGTTTTCCAGACGACTGGAACTTGGCTGCAAAGCTGAGGGTTATGGGAAACCATCCTCTATCCACTCAGAAGCAGAGAAAGCAAGTTAGTAACAAAACTGAATAAAAGGGCTTTGAGGAGAGAAGCAGAGGTTAACAGAAAGGACTTAAAGGATTCCCGCTGGCCTTCCAATTCTTGGGGCCAGTACTTCCTAGAGCCTATCTGTGTTCTTGATCTTGGGTTCAATGAGACACCCTTGTCTCTTTATCACATAGGCCCCTCTTTCTGCCATACGCTAAATGAAATTGATTTTTGTTAATAATCAAAAGGCTTCTAATTAATAAATCACTGTGGTCAGATTTAATAATATACATTAGTTGGCAAGAGGTAGAAACTATGAATTACTCAGTGTATTGGTTACCCAGGCAAAAAATAAAAGTAAAGAGGTATAAATACAAAAGACTGCAAACAGCTCAATGAGGTTAATAACTAGACCACAAGCATAAAATCTGTTTCAGTGGTGTTGTGACTTTCCTCAGACAATAGCACTCTCTTAAAACTGGCTGGAACCAAGAACTTCAATTATATACATGTGGCTACAACCTTCAAAAGCTTCTAAGTTTGTTCACTCAGCAAATACTACCTGGATGCTCAGGACATACTGGATTCTGTGAAAGATGCTGTCTCTGCCTCCAGGTTACATGGAGAAATAAAGAAGCGGGTAAACTCTTTGGTGGAGGGGAAAACACCAAGATCAAGGTGAGCCCAGTATGGGAGCTCCTAAGAGGTGCACCCAACCTACCCTAGGAGCAGTCAAGGAAGGCACCCCGGAGGAAGTAACCGCAAGAGGACTCAGTGTGGCAGACATCAGGGGAGAGCTTTCCAGACACGACGGACAGCACATGCAAAAGCATGGCCATCACAGAGCCCGGCATAGTCTGGGAAGGAGAGGTTAATCCTCACTGGAGAGTGGCAGACTACAAGCCTAGAAACATATACACTAGATGGCTAAAGTACAGAGTTCAGTTCCTTAACCTGTTCTCAACAGAAGAGTGCTGGATGGTCCCAAAACAGGGTTCTGATTTATTTTTAAGACAATATTAGTCTGAAAAACAGGATTAATTCCAACATCTGTTAGTGAGGCTGGTTTGGACATCACTTCCTCCAGGAAATCTTTGATCGTCTAAGACCAGGTAAGAAGCCAGGTCTCTGCCCTCAAAGCACCCAGTTACAAAACCGAGTACTTGGTAGCAACACTGCCCAGTTCCCTGTCTGTGCTCAGCTCCACTCCAAGACTGTGGGTCCTCCCTCATCACGGCATCCCAGCCTGGTACACAGCAGGCACATAATAAAAATGGACTGAGTGAATGAATGCC